ATTAGTCTAGCGTACTTGGTGAATCTATCAATGATGACGAAAATGTGCCTCTTACCACTCTTGCTGGTCACAAGGGTGTCCATGAAATCCATGGAAACACTCAATCCTGGACCATCAGGAATGGGTAAAGGATTCAATAACCCAAGCGGTGCTTGAGTTCGCGGCTTGTCCCGCTGACAGACCTGACAGGTCTCACCTAGCATTCTGGGCCACCAAAATCGCTGTACTAAGTTAGCACTCGTCTTCTTGTAGCCAAAGTGCCCAGTTGCGTCATGACATTCGCCTAAAAATAAACTACGCAACTGTTTACTAGATGGAACTACCAATCTCTTTACTCGGGCCTTATCAAGATAGATTAGCCCATCCACCATCACAAACTCACTTTCTGTGGCCTTGTCTTTTGCCTGAAGTTTGCGAATGATGTCCATCGTGTCATGGTCTTCCTGATAGGCTCCCACCAATGACTGAGCTACTTCGTTAGATACGCCAAATTTGGAAACTAGCGCACCTAGGTAGTCTGCTCTACGGGATAGCGCGTCTGCAACCTTGTTGTACTCTCCTTTCAGGTACTCAAGCTTGAAGTCATATTGGTCTATGACCTCAATCCATCGCTTGAATGCATCAGAAAGAGTCGGTTGAGTCTTGATCCATTTTAGGGTCTGATGATCAGTCCTCAGATAGAAGAATCTTCCCAAAAGGAAGTGTCTCCAATGGACAAGTGCTTTGTAGAGAGCGTAGAGTTCCCTTCCGTTGGTGGACTTAGCCAATTTCTTCGATGGCATCTTCTTACTCATATACTCAATCGGTCTCAACTTTTTCCCATCCTACTGAGCCAGCACTGCGCCAATGTTGTGTTGGCTTGCGTCAGTGGTCACTATGAATGGCTTCTGCGGATCGGGAACCATGAGAACTTCGTGATTCATTAGTGCATGCTTCAATCTCTTGAAAACACCCTCGCACTCATCACTCCAGTCCCACGGTGTGTCAAGTCGAGTTAGATCTGTCAAAGGAGAGGCGACTGTAGAATAGTTCTTTACGAAGTTCCTATAGTAGCCGCACATTCCTAAGAAAGATCTGACCTCAGTAACTGTCTGAGGTCGTGGCCAGTCTCGAATACTAGCCACTTTCGCATCTTCCGGCCTAATTCCCTCCGCGGATACTTCATGACCCAAGTATAGAATCTTAGTGCGACCGAATTCACACTTCTCTAGGTTGATCTTATACTTGTGCTGTCGTAGGAGTGAGAGAACAGTCTCAACATGTTGTGCGTGCTTCTCGACAGACTTACTAAAGATCAAAATGTCGTCTAGATAGACTATGACAAACTTATCTAAATGGTCATGGAAGATCCGATTCATAACGTGCTGGAATGTACCCGGCGCATTGCAAGGACCGAAAGGCATCACTACAAACTCATACAGACCATATCTAGTCTGAAAAGCTGTCTTGTGTTGGTCCTCACGTCTTATTGCGATCTGATGATATCCGGATTTCAAGTCTATCTTCGTATAGTACTTGCATCCCTGGACTCTATCCAATAGGTCGTCTATGCGGGGTAAGGCTTTGCATT